TAGAGTTGAGTGGTAAACAAAAGAGATTGAAAGACAAGTCTGGCAGTAGCAAGCAAAGGCGGAAGAGTAAGTCGCCAAGGCACATTAGGTCCCCTCATAACCAACGTAGCAGGTCGCCATGAAGAAGGAGAAGGTCCCCTTATAGAGGCAACAGATTCTTAGGCTGGCATTCTCGCACCCCTCTCGTTCAAAACCGAAACTACACTACACTAAATGCAAAGAGAGGGGAGATCCTGTTGCAGATAAAGACAACCGAGTACGTCATATGGCCACCTCGGATGAGAGGAAACCCCACCAACAGGAACCTGAACAAGTACTACCACTTCCACCGGGACATCGACCATGATACAGAAAACTATCATAACCTCAAGAACCATATCGAGGAGCTGATCTGCCGGGGTTACCTAAAGCAATTAATTGAGTAGGAAGACCGCCACTAATCTACTGACCAGCCCAGAGAAGTGTCATAATCGAACAAGGACCAAAACAGAGGCAAGCCACCTTGAGACCCACCACTAGTAGAGCGGCCCATCCGTAGTGTAATCAACATGATCATGGGTGGGTCCATAGTGGTAGGATGCAGCACCTCGACCAAGAAACATTCAGTTTGGGAGTTTGTGCATGAGGATGAAGCGCCCTCGTCTAGAGGAGGTAATTTACTTCACAGAAGATGACACTTGCAGGATCCAGTATCCGCATGATGACACCTCCGTGATCAAATTAGTGATAAATGACTTCGAGGTTAAGCGGATTCTAGTCAATTCCGACAGTTCAATGGATATCATTTTCCTAGTGGCATTCGAGTGGATGGGGCTGGAGAGGAAGGACCTACTACCCGCTGATGTCCCTCTAGTCGACTTCAGTGGAGAAGTGGTGTGGCCTCTAGGCCGCATAAGAGTACCAGTGATAGCAAGCTCGCCAACAAACCATGTGCACTTCGACCATAACTTCCTAGTGGTAGCAACTCTCTCGCCCTACAATGCCACCTTGGGCCAACCAACCCTGCACGCCCTTGGAGTTGTGGTGTCGACCTATCATCTGTTGATGAAATTCCTGACAGACTATGGAGTGGAAGTGGTGCAAGGAGATCAGCTCAAGTCACGGAAGTCCTACGTGACCGCGTTGAAAGGAAAAGGAAGGCAGGCCACCGATGTCGACTTGGAGCCGCCCTCGGAGAATGGTGACGAGAGTGATCGCCCCATTGAGGACACCCTCCAAGTGCCAATCTCAGATGTCGACCCCATGAAGACAGGACAGATCGGAGCCCACCTCATAGAACCACTACGCTCTAAATTAGTAAGCTTTTTAATTAATAACTTAGATGTTTTTTCTTGGTGGGTAGCAGAAATGCTTGGTATAGACCCCTCTGTTATAACTCATAGGTTGAATGTTGACCCTTTAACTAGATCAATCCGGTAGAAGAAAATGAACTTCACCCAAGAGTAGTGGAGGATAGTAGAAGAGGAGGTAGAGAAGCTCCTCGTTGCAGACTTCATTAGAAAGGTCCAATACCCGAGCTGGATTGCAAACTCAATGCTTGCGAAGAAGGCCAATGACAAGTGGCACATGTACGTCGACTACACAGACCTCAATAGAGCCTGCCCAAAGGATAACTTCCCACTTCCTAGGATAGACCGCCTGGTAGATGTGACCTCAGGGTTTGAGCTATTGAGTTTCATGGGCGCCTACTCCAGATACAACAAAATCCAGATGGATCCAATTGTCCAAGAAAAAACTACTTTTGTAATTGAAACAGTATTGTATTGTTATAAAGTTATGCCCTTTGGGTTTAAACAACGCTAGGATGACCAACCAACTACTTGTAAATAAAGTATTTTCTTATTTAATTGGAAATAAAATAGAAGCTTATGTCAATGATATGGTTGTTAAAACTCGATTTTCAAACTCTTTGGTTTCTTACCTAAACTGTGCTTTTGACATTTTAAGAAAAAACAACATGAGGCTCAATCCAAACAAGTGCGCCTTCGGTGTCACGCCGGGCAAGTTCCTCGGGTAAATAGTGAACAGACGTGGCATTGGGGCCAACTGGACAAAATCCAAGCCGTCCTAGATATGAGACCCCTAGGTCTATTAAAGAGGTTCAAAGGCTAACAGGTCGAATAGCTGCCCAGAACCGGTTTATGTCTAAGTCGGCTGAGCAGTACCTTCCATTATTTAAAGCCATAAAAAAGAACCAAGACTTTGAGTGGACCAAAGAGTACCAGCTTGTGTTTGACGAGCTGAAAGGTACTTGAGTTCACCACCCTTGCTAACTAGGCTGGAACGGAAGATGAGCTAAAACTCTACCTCTCAATAAGTGACGAGGTAGTGAGCTCGGTTTTAATTGGCAAGGTGGACAGGGTGCAGATACATGTCTGCTACGTAAGTAAAGTCCTGCACACCACTGAGACGAGGTATTCGAACATCGAAAAGTTGGCCTTCTCGTTGGTGTTAGCAACCCGTAAACTATGCCCTTACTTTCGGGCTCATACCATTGTGGTCCTGACCAATCGATGTTTGAGGCAAATCCTTCAAAAGCCTAAGGTCTCGGGAAGGTTAACAAAATGAGCAATTAAGCTCAGCGAGTACGACATCTGGTTTGAGCCATGTCCAACGATCAAGACTCAGGTCCTGAAAGACTTCGTCGCCTATTACACGTTCAGCACGGCTCATCCAACCAAGGCAAAAGCAGAGCTGGGCTAATCCTCTATGGACCTAGCGAGGTGAAGATAGAGTACACTCTTTGATTCGTGTTTTGAGCTTCGAACAATGAAGTTGAGTATGAAGCGCTATAGCCGGGCTATTGTTGGAAAAAGAGGTTAGCACAAAACATCTCGTGGCGTGCAACGACTCTCAACTAGTGGTGATTCAAGTGAATGGGCAATATAAGGCTTGGGAGCCCGTCATGTTGGCCTACTTGGCCAAGGTTAGAGAGCTCCTGCCCAACTTCCACTCTTAGTACATCCAGCAAGTTTCGAAGTCCGAGAACATCAAGGCCGACGTGCTCTTGAACTTGGCCGAAGCAACGAACATCACAAAGAGAACGGTCTACATTGAAGACCTACCACGACCTAGCATAGAAAGGGTGATAGAGAAGGTCGCTCTTGTTTTGGCTGTAGAACCGAGCTGGATCGACCCGCTCGTTGACTATCTGCACCACAGGACCCTACCAGTAAAATGCAATGCAGCTCGGAGGGTAGAGAGATAATCAGTTCACTATGTTATCATTGGCGAGCAACTGTATCGCAGGTCATTCACGCTCCCCTAATTGTGCTGCTTGCGTCCAATAGAAGTGAACCAGGTGTTACGCGAGATCCATAGGACTCTGTGGGAGACAGATCTGCTTCCCACAAAGCTTACCCCACAAACGCCCCACATGCATATCTACGCAATTAGTTAAAATATAAATTTTATTAACCTTGAAATAAATTACTTCAAAGAGATTATCAAATTAGAGTCATTAAACTAACAATAATTAATTTAATAGTAAATAATTAACTAAGAGTAAATTGTTACTTAAACACTAACTTAATTAGCTTAGTTAATAGTAAACTAACATTCCCTTAATTTACTTTATTGACTTATAGCTAACTTAGTAACTCAGTTTGCTTAATTACATTAATTTACTTAATTTCTCTAATTATTTAATTTACTTAACTAATAGTAACTTAATTTACTTATTTACCTTTACCTTTAGCTTTATTATTTAATTACTCTATTTACTTAGCTTAATTTACTTAATTAATTAGTTAATTCACTTAATTACATAGTTTTAAAATTTCCATTGGCCCAGGTGGTGGAACCGTTAAGAATCAGTTAACTGTCTAATTCCATTTTATACTTGGTTTGGAACTTTGCAAAAAATATTCGGAAAAGTACGAACAGATCCAATGCAGATTTCAGATTTCCACTGCAGAGCTATAAACATTCAAAATGTCAAAAATCCCCCATTCTATACACCAATGCCTTGCTTGTGAATTGGCATCAATTCCGAACTGACACCCACCCCAACTGTACTTTGGGCCTAAAAATTCTGACCCTGAGCTGAACATTCATTCTCCCAAAAATATTGACTTGAGTAGCAAACCATTGGCCTAGATTGTTGAACTACTAAACTCTCAATGAATGGTTTTGAGGCTTTTTAATTATTTTTTATTTTTATTTTCTAAAACGTCATGGGCTGATCAGCTTGGATCAGACAATCAAATTGCTAATCCAAATGGTTGAACTACTAAACTCCTAGTGAATGATTTTCAAGACTTTTTAATTATGTTTTTTATTTTTTAAAACATTGCGGGCTTATCCGTTTGGACCAAATGATCGAAAAGCTGAACAAAAACCGATGGCCAAAGTGGTTTTGTTTTTTGGTTGATTTTTAAAACTTTACTTAATTGACTTATTTAGATCAATTAACTTTATTTATCTAATTTACTTAATTAACTTAGTTTCCTTAATTAATTTAATTTACATATTTGATTGCTTAATTTACATAATTGACTTAATTATCTTAATTAGTGTAACTTATTTAATTAACTTAATTAATTTTATTAAAGTGACATTTTCGAACTTTAGAATTTGAAGTGGCCCTTTCAAACTTGAGAAGTGCCACATAAGCATGCTTTTATTATTTTATTCATTTTCTAACGGGTCTCTAACTCCATCTATTTTTACCTTAAATTGGTCTTTTCATCATAGTTTGAGGGCAAAAGTGGCCCTTTTAATTCTTAAGGGTCTAAAGTGATTTTTTTTTTGGTTTAGTTCAAAAGGTTGTCATAATAAAAAACAATGCACTTTTGTAGTTTTGATTCCTTGTCTTTGGTTGATTGCAATTTACAAGGTTTTCAAGTCATGATTCTTAATTCTTCAGGCATTTGTGCCGTATACTGGAAGTTGGATTAGGCACCAGATTTTTTGCTTCATGTCACCCCTCCTTTCATTACCAAACAAGAAAGAAATAAAAAGAGGAGGTTTTTTTTTTGAACTGTTTAACTAAAACAAGGTAGGATGAAATTTGGTGTTTATTTGCTTTTCAACTTGTAAGTTAACAGAAGTTCACTTTCAGAACCGTACCACAATCAAACAAGACCCACAGAACAGCACCGAGCAAGTGACTGAAGATGGCCAAAAAGCTGTTGATGGCTCTTCACAGGAGAAGGTAAGAAGAAATTCGGATGACTGGCCAAAAAGTTGTTGATGGCTCTTCACAGAAGAAGCTCTCCAACCGGGGAGAGTCTCTGCTCCCTCTCATTTGGAAATGCCACATCTTGGTCATCATCCCTGGACAACACAATCATGGGGCTCATCAAGGTGTGGTGACCCAGGAGGCTTCTTCACATAGCAGTTTGGTGGCAAGACCGGATGCTCAGGCACTGGAACCGATGAAGGGTCCACCAGACCTGCGACTACACAATCATAGGTCTCATCCAGTGGCTGAGAACCACAAGGCGTCACAAAGCAGTTTGGTGGGACAATCCGATGCTCTGTCACTGGAACTGAAGGAGGCTCCATCAGAATTTCCCTCTCTCTTTGTTCCATTTTCTTTGAAAGAACTCTCAGAAATTGGTCAAGAGCACTACGCATCCATTCATACCGGCAGAGTTTGAATGCTTCTCCAACTGTCAGCTACAAAGGGAAAACCAGGTCTCAAGTTAGGCTCATAGGTGCTTAGTAGTTATTAACCAGGGAATTCACTGCCTTGTATCGTAAAAACTGAATACAATGTTCTTAACAATGGCTTCCCTCAATATACATGTGGCTTTCAAGGCATCCAATTGATGGATCAAATTACAGAACTTGCTTATGTTGACCTAATTTTACATATTTGGATCCTTCTAAACAGTTAAAGAGAATGAGCCATGGTTAACAAATATCCCATCATTTTTGTACACCTTTATCGCATACTGACCCATTTCCTGTCATGGCTAGCCTGCTCCGGCCAGGAGTTGAGCTCCTCGGTAACCCTCAGTGCAAACATGTAACCTCTACAACCTCCTTCCAGGCTACTGCTATCCTGTCTGCTCTTGCTTCTGAACTCCCAAACTCCCAGCTGATTTTCCTACGAGAGAGGAGGAATCACAATTTATCAGATGACTCAATGTTTCTTTTTCTTCTATTTTCTATTTTCCTTATGTCATGCATCATAGTCAAATGATTTGGGGGAGAACACAAATTCAACTACCAAGGGCCATTAACTCAATGTTGCCCTGGCTACCTGGGACCTTGGGATGGGTGGACTGGATATGGACCTAACCTCTGTAGTTCTTGCATTGTCAGCCTAAGCTTTTAACATTGAACCAAGCAATTGTGATGAACTCCATTAACTCAATGTTGCTTGCATTTGAACATAGAGCAAGCACAATGCATAATAGACCAAGGTTCTTAAAGAAATTTGTAACAAAAAGAAGCTCAATTGGGGGAAGAAAAGCAGCTCCAAGAGTATGAACTCGAAGATAATTTCTGAATTTGGACTGGGATGCTTTGTCGTACCAAGGGACAATGAAGGTGCATAACAAAACTAAAAAAGAATATTGGGTGATTCTAACCATCAGATCTTTGGGGGGAAGTATATATGTGGATTAGTATCCAAAGGCTATCCCAAAGATGCATCATCCCATGATCTTCATAGGTTTTACATTGGAGGATTTATGCAGCTGGCTACATTTGGAAGAGAATACATTTTCAATCAATGATTATAACAGAATGTTTGGCACTAAGGCAGGTAATCCAAATGGCAGTGGAGCTCAGGACTTCATTTTTAAAGAAGCTAAAAATTATTTACCACAACAAAAAAAAAAGGCCATGATAAGTCAAACTACCTAATTTGCGACTAAATGCATCCCATGGATAGTATGCAACACAGGCAACAAGCTAACATAACAGATAACTGCCAAAATATCATATCTAATAATTATGATACTATGTGTGGCATTCTTGAGCATGTATGCTCTGGGTAGAATACACAGTAGCCCCCACTTTTTTTTTCCTCACAGAAGGCCAAATGCTTCCTGTTCAAACTATCAGTAAATCAGTTCACTTTCATCTGTTTTAAAGCTTTATTCCCAATGTGAAGTGAATGATGCACAAGATGGGGTAACTTCAGATAGAACTTCAAACTGAGCAATTTCCCAAGGCAGAAAGAATGTAGACTAGTCACTAGTATGATGAGGAACAATGCCGGGACAGCAGAACCTGAAGCAACAGTTGGAAGTAGATTCATAGTGTGTCCAAGATATGCAACAACAAGCAGTCTAGATACCAAAAGGAAATGGAACCTACATCAAGAATTCCTCTCACTCCTGCTTCCTCCAAGGCCTCACGACATGCGGCTTGCCAAACAGATTCATCATCCTCCCACCCACCCTGAACCAAATTATATGTAAATAGCATCAGTTCAAAAATTTCCACTAATGATAACATTCCTCTTTCTGTCCCCTACTTGATGCTAATGGCACTGCAATACATTATAGAACACATGATTCAAAATTTTAAATGGCTCCGCATTAAATTAAGGAATGAAAGCAGAAAGATGCATACTTTTGGAAATACAAGGTCATCCCGATTTGGTGAAGAAATCATAAGCACTTCCAACCTATTCACCAGATCATAACTGTGATCATCGACATCTTCTTTTAGCCTGTAAGGAATGCACCTGTTTGTGTTGCAACAAGTGGTGAGAAACAACAGATGGACATTAACAAAAAAAAAAAAAAACTCCAAACTTGAAAGTATTTATCAAAGTCCACTGATGAATCTAATATTCAGTGCAAACTAATAAAATGGGCACTTCAAGAAGGTCAACAGAATGTAAGGAAAACCAACCTAAATGAGAAAAAGAAAAAGGGTTGTGACTTATGGGATACCATTTTCATTTAGAAGAAAAACGTGTATAAATTTTATTAATTGAGATTTGACACCCCATAGGCTCTCAGTTGAAACATCACTAACGAAAACAACCATGGGAGTATTTGTCAAAACTCAAAACAGAATCAATATCTTTTTGTTCTCTCTCTACCTTGTTTTGCCTGTTGTTTTTACATAGTGCAGCACATCAGGGCAACGGGTAGTAGTTCTGTCTGCCCGCACCAAAATGAGGATGAAGAGGGTCCAAATCGATAAACAATCTGGGGCTAATGAAACCCAAGAAAACAAATCCCAAAGAAAAAAAGCTCTCTTTCTCTCCAGAAAATCCAAATAAAATTAAAACAAGGGTTGACCCAAAAGCAAATTGCGCATTCTGCGTCTCAACCTTGAGGTAGGAAGCTGGTTATAGATCATATCATTAAAAATTAAAAATAAATTGGGAAACTGAAGCGTCTAAGTCCAAACACCGAACCTCCCACGTAAGCACCACCGAAAGGGTTGAGAAAGTTCAGAACAGGTTATGATGAAAAAAATAAAATAAAAAATAAGGACAACGGCACGACGCCCATAACAATTGAAAACAAAAACATGAAGCAGCATCAATTCAATTCAAGGTAGGGCCCCGCCCATCAAAAAACAATTCAAGGTAGGACCCCCATTTTGTCACCATCCAATAAAAAATCCAAAGTAGAAAAGTCACCATTATTATACAACTCTACCACACTTGATCAGGATAAGAAATATATTGCTCATCCAAGAAAACCCACTTCACCTCTTAAGGGCACCTAAATTTTTGGAGATTGTACATAAATCTTCAAATTTACCACAATTTTGGCTTTTGTTTTCTTTCCTGTCCTTTCTTTTTATTTTTTGGGAAATCCTGTAAAAGGCCTACGCATGATGAAATTAGTTTTGCATAAAGCAATCATATTGCACGCGGCAATGGCATAGATAAATCATAAATCACAGAAGCCGAAAATGAAAACCAAAAAACAACAACAAGCAAAACACCTAATAAGTTAAAAAGAATAAATAACAAGAGCAATATAAGCCAAACATTGATAAAATTAGTACCCAGCAACGAGACGAAGTTGGTCCTCATATCTTTGCCGGTGCCTCCCTGTTCGAGCTAGCAAAGGCAACATGATGATCCTGAAAATTTCCTGAAGGGAAAACAATAAAAGAAGGACTAAAAGGGAGTTTTTGTTTTCATGTGGGAATGAAAAAAAGTTCAAATATAATCAGAGGAGAACCAGAGAAGCGGCAACAAGGACCCTTGTTTTTTGATACGAAAGCAACAGCTTTCATAACCATAAAGCCTTCAAGCCGCGTCAAATGGGCAAGAAGGAGGAGACTCTAAGCATAAAAGAAGAGCTCAGAAAGACCCAAAGCGAGTCACAACTCGGAGATGACATAGAGAAGATAAACAACAGATATAGATTATTGATACCCACCCTCGGGCGAGACGATCGATGTTTTTCATGTCCCTGTGGCACGAGCAGAGAACAGCAGGGTGTGTGGAGAGTCAAGAACGCGAAGGGAAATCCCCACTAGTCCCTTGCCTTTGGTTAACGGTTCAAAGCTTCAAAGAGAGGTTTCATGGAAAGAGCAGCTCAGATGGAAAGAGAAAGAGGCCGGGAGAAATGGATGACAGGAGCGGGAGCGATTTCCGCGGGTCCAGACTCCAGATCAACCAACGGTACCCTACCCATCTATATATTATATAGATGGACATTTGGACGGTTATATTTGGGAGATTGCTTTTCTTTAATTGATGATTGATGGATGATTTTATCTTATGAGTTAATGACAAAATCAAAATAGTAAATACAAAATTAGTTGATATAATCAAATCACGAGTGTGCGTGGTTGTCGTCACCAGGATACTTCCTCGTGTTTGGACTTTGGATTCATATTCATTTGATGAATTCTGTAGTCCGCGGGAGATGGATTTCCCATTTTATATATCTAACTCCCCAAATCCAAATTTTCCTACAAATTTATTCTTACATGCCAAGACAATATGTGTTATTTGTTTTAAATTAACACCTATGTATTTGAATTAATTATATCAACATTTTTAAATGACTTGACATCCTAGTTCAAAGTATCGATACAATTTTAATACATTGGATGCATCAGCATAACGGGTGTTTTGATCACATTTTTTAAGCTTATTTTTGAAATGTGTCAAGACGCTAAGGTTATGTTTGGTTTGAAGGAAAAAGTAGGGAAATAAAGGAAAAGGTGGAAAAACCCAAGGTTTTTAAAAACGAACCGGAAACAGAATTGGTCATGGGACCAGTTTCTGGTTAAGCGGTTCAACCATCTAGGTTGAACGGTTCGACCCATGACATCATAAATAAATAAAAAATAAAAAATAATATTTATAAATAATATAAAATCTAAATAAAAAACAGAAAAAAAATACAAAAAATAAAACTATCTAAATAAAATATAAAAATAAAATACAGAAAAATTTTAAAAATATAGAAAAAACACCAAAAAAAGTTCAAAAAAATACAGAAAAAAAAGAGAAAAATAAAACCATAAAACTTCAACAGTAAATCTCTCTCTCTCTCTCTCTCTCTGGATGGTGGAGTAGCTATGACTAACTACTGTGAATCCTCCATCTACTTCATCTGAAGCAAGAAACAGAGCAGCCTCTGCTATATGGGCGGGCTTTAACACAGTGCCCTTCAAGTTGCAGGCCAATGGGGTAGTGACTCCAAAAGGGGAGATGCAGTTGACCCTAATGCCATGAGCCCCCAGCTCACTACAGGCTAACTGGACCAGCCCCACCAATGCGTGCTTAGAAGTGGTGTATGTACGAGGAGCAGAGCCACCCAAGGCCACTACCACAGTTTCAGTGTAGACAATCGAGCCGCATATCTTTCTCTCCACCATAGCCCGACCTGCGTGCTTAATCATCGATGCCATCCCTGGCACATTGGTGAGCATGGTGTTGTTGAACTCTTCCATATACATCTCTAGAATGTTGCTTAGAGGACCCAAGATCCCTACTAATTGTCGTAGGTGATTGCCGCTGCAAGTGGTTGCAACTGTTACTGTCGCTAAAAACCCTCACCCACCGCTACAAACTTGGTAGCAGGCAAGCTAACCGTCTGCCACTGCAAGTGCTAGCCGCCGCAAGGCCCGCCAACTCTTACAACTGGTTGTAAGTGCTGCCCGCTCCCTGCAAGCTCGCCGTCGTCGGTCACCGTCGGTCGGTGTATGTCATCGTTGGATGCCGGAGGCACTGGCCGCCGTAGGTGGTCGGTTGGGTGTGAGGGTTCAGACGAGGGAACTCAAGAAACCCTAAAGCTAAAGGGACTAAACATTAGACTAGGTTAGGGATTTTTTGTTTTTTATTATTTAAAACATTGAAAATAAAAAGAGTAACCCGTGAACCGCTGCCTGGGTCAAACGGTTTAGCGGTCCTACCGCCTGAGTCAACGGTTTTCAGACTTTTTCAACGATTTTTAGAAATTTTCGGTTTTTAGTAAAACCGGACCCAGGGACTGACCGGTTACTAGTTTTTTCCGATCTAACCATCCGGTCCGGTCCAGTTTTGAAGACCATGGAAAAACCTTTACAAACCTTGAGATGACAAGGAAATCTTCCAAAAACTGTCCTAGCAAGAGTGACAAGGAAGTCTTCCAACCACAAGTACACTTGAGCTGGAAAAGTGCTTTCATTTGGGAAGAATACCTTGTTGTTTTACCTCTTCTATGATGAAAACTTGAACACAAATTCTCAAGAGAGGAACCCTGGACATATAAGCTTAAATTGATTAGACTATTAAATTTGAACACCAATTCTCATAACTTTTATGAGATTTGAATCCATACACATTGGTTTTAGAGAAAATTCCTGATCAGTACCCTGTACTTTGGTTCGAGTGACAATTGAGTCCCCAAACTTTAAAATGCGACAATCCAATACTCGAACTTTCAAAATGTGACAATCCAGTAGTTGCTGTTAACTAGTTTATTAATCAATCGTTATGTGACATTTGAAAAGTCAAAAATACCCTTCGAATGGCATCTAATTCTCTTTATGAGTCATCCAAACATTGACAAAAAACTGAACACTCCCAAATCCTAGCCTCTTCCATTCAAAAGCGTTGATGACTATTTAGAAGAATCTAAAATTTGGGACTGTTCATTTTATTGTTCATGTTTGGATGCTTGATAAAGATAATTAGATTGCATTCTTAGATCATTTTTTACTTTTCAAATGTCACTTAATAGCCGAGTAACGGACCGGTTAACAACAGGTACTGAATTGTCACATTTTGAAAGTTCGAATAATGAATTATCTCATTTTAAAGTTTGGGATCAAATTAGCACTCGAGCCAAAATACTGGATATTGATCGAAAATTTTCCCTTAGTTTTAAGAAAACATAATCATAAATTTGAATATTTAAATAATATCGGAATGGATGAGATAAATATATTGGGTAGATCCAAATCATCAATCATTTACTTGTTCCCAGACCCACCCAGACCGAGAGTACTAGATTGCTGATTTTCTGTTAAAAGGATTTATAAAAAAAAAAAAAAAAAAAAAAGATATAAAAGAAACTTTTAGGTTAGTTCTGTGCTCCAGCAATGCTAGCAGGTGGGTCAGCTGCTTTTCTGAACCTACAGTTACAGTCTATACAGTCTACAGATGGATGGATCAGTGCCCACTAAAAATTGTCTTATATTGTGTCATTAGATGGTTCACTGTCTTTTGTAGCAGCAAGCAGCAGGGTTGCCAGAACCCAGCAGTTGCTGTTTATAATGCCAGCATATATAATTTACTTCAGCCTGGTTTCTACATTTTTTTACCACCTCACTGTAATTGTTTTGTTGGCATTTAAATAGAGTGTAGTTTAAACATGGAAAATTTGATGTAAAATTTTACTTACATCAAATTTTAATTGCATAGTGTATTTCTAACCTTATAATATTTATATTGTATTTATTTCAACTATCTTCAAAAATATTTTACTTTACAGACCTCCTCCATTAATCCAACAATCATGTATACGATTATTTGACACATTTTTCAACAAAAAATACCCTTACACGTTTGCCAAACTTAACAAGCAAGTTCAAATATAGCTTTTATTTTAAAAAAAAAAAAAAAAAGAAAAATGATGTGGTTTGGTTAATTAATGACAACTTTGTTGCCTTCATTACTGCATTCGATAAAAGGATTAATGCATTTAATCTATTTTACTTATTATGCGCTACTAGAAAGACAAAGACATGATATCCAAAGAGCTTTGACCAATCACCCCGTGAATTTTGATAAAGCCAAACTTTACTTTAGAAATGCTTAATATTTTGTCTCAAAAGAATATTTTCTGCATTCTGTTTGTAATATAAACATTAATTAATTTATCTGAAATGAAATACCAATTATTAAAATATTATAATTAAATGGTTTTCCTATGATGTTATCTATTCGATCACCTTCCACTTTACAAACAAATAAAGATATTTAAGTCTGTTACTTTCTTCATAAAAGATATGTTTATCTTCTAACACATTGTGTCAATAATTAACTTCCAAGATCCAATGGAATAAAAGTCAAAATCCAATTAACATTATTGGAGGCTGTTGATGAAACTAAACTTTTTGTTTAAATTCATGAGTAAAAATGTAAAATTAAAACAGAAATATTATTACGTACCTTACGAGGGGAAGATGTATATATAGTACGGACAAGGTTCAAGTATAAAAAATGAATTTCGGGTGAAAAATAGTTTACCTTGCGATCCATTTAACAAATTGCCAAACCATTCATCAGGTTTTGATCGAGATGGATGAAGGGTTTAGTGGTCCAATTCAATGTTCTGGATTCCTTATTTGGCCTTCATGGTTATTCATTAATACATTTTTTATTTATTTTTAAAAATAAATTTTAGGCAAAAGAAGAAACCAAAATTATAATCGACGCGAAATGGTAAAGTATATATATATATATATATATATATATTAAAGGCATTATTGTCGGGTCAATATCAGCAGTCGGCCGGAATAGCTTTGGGAAGGAGAACGGATCCTTCGTTTTTTTTTTACTTTCTATACGAGTGGATAAAATTATTCGATTTTTGTTGTGTCAGTCATTCTCTGTGGGGATGGGAATGAGGAGGAAAGTTCTCGAGAGACTAAATCGATTTAATCCAATCCAAATTTACTTCTACTACTTCACTTCTGATGATGATATGAGATCTTCTACGATGATGCTCGTTCAACTTGTTTCCGTGTCTAAACCGAAGGTGGTGGTGGCACTACGTAGACACATGAACCCAGCCAATTTAGTAGCTAGGGACTTGATCCAAGATATCAGAGAGCGAGGGACCACAATCATTTCCAAATTCCAATTAATTGGCTTAACACCATTCCCCATTAGCTCCCAACAATTCCCAATTAGGAATCGGATTTTAGATAAATTAATTAATTGTTGATTCTTGCTCAAAGATTAATTATTTGCATGACCCATCAACTAAAATCACTATATTTTATTGTGGGTTTTAGTAAAATTTAATGACTCAAGAGCCACCATAATCAGTTCGGAATTCCGATTAAATTCTCAAAACCATCTTGACAGAGCCGTGTATTATGTTTTTATCTATGGAAAGATATTTTGAATACAAAGCTGTAAGCCTGCTGTAAAGACTGAATCTGAAACTTTGAATTCCTCAGGTATGCACCCAATTCTTTTAAGTCAAGTGCATTTACTCTCGTGTATATCCCAACTGTGTATTGGAACAACTTTGGGAGATGTTCGCAATACATGCTTGTAGGGCACAGACCTGATCTCAAAACAAGTAAGTAATGAACATTTGTGGGCCGGGTTGTCGGAAACCAAAGAGATGGTAGCCCAAACCAGGGCCATGCATGTATTACTGCATATGTTTAGTGTTATTAGAGTGGAATTGAACCAGTGATGGTGATAGTTTTCTGTTTCTGGGTAGCAGTTTTAAGCTTCTGTTTTCGATTTTGTATTCAGTCCAAGTCTGAGAGAACATTATATATATATATATATATATATATATATATATGCATTCAATATATATCACTTGCAATCAATAAATTTCATTGCTCCTCCTAACTCCAAACATGATCTCGTTCTCATTTCTCAGTTTCTCACAGCACAAACAAAATACAAAAATAATAGAAAGATGAATTAAGGAATGCGGGAAAAGGACATGTGTCTGTAATACGTAATATGCATGTTGGTGCCGACATACACGACCCATCCACCACCACCACATGCTCATGCTGTGCTCTGATGACTGATCAGATCAGATGTTTCAATTCACCGAAATGCATGTTATCAAGTCCACAGTTGTTGACACAAGGTTCTTCGATTGGCCGATATTTTGTTTCAAACACTAGACAGAATTAATGCTGTGGACCCTCTATTATTAGCCTCTCTTATATATATATATATATATTATATAGAACCACTACCACTAGTGGAAATAAGTCAATAACAAATAACCCACCCAGAATATTGTATTACCATTATTATGATACAATAATGGTAATAAGAACTCCTTCAACGTACAAGTTCTCCGATATAAATACTGCTGTTTTTTTTTTCAAAATGAAAAAAAAAAAATTGCCATATCAGCAAAGAATAATATGCTTTTGCTTACGTAGCGGTTGCTTAAAATAACAAAACCATTCAAATTGACAACACCCCCTAAGTTGAAACATTAACAAATGCAATTGTATTGCTTCATTGTTGTCTGTTGCATTAAGTACTGTTGTTGTTAACTATTAATCACTCTTTTATAATAAGAAGGCTCCCTAATAATGGAATGGAGTTGAGTTGGGAAGCTTGCTAGCGATTCCACCAAGGTGGCCATTTGGAAGAATCTTTCGGTGATATGATGTTAGAACTTGAGTGGGCAAATTGGATGTATATGAATAGTGCTGCAATAGACTCTAAAAGTCTGATATTCAATTTGACTACAAAGCTG